CACACTCCATCCCAGGTCCACACAGAGGAGCCAGGGAGGAACGAGTTTGTTCAGCAGGACCAGCGCCCCCTGGAGGAGGAGCTGCTCCTGAACAATCTCCGGCTGTCCCACCACCTATGACCTTTAAAACCTTAGGGGTCGTATGAGGACAGGCCAATCAGGTGCGGGGCCATCCTCATTTAGTAGAGACCCCATGGAAGGGGGAACCCTTCAGTACCCCCTCAGCCTTCCCAACCCCTGACATCTTTGGGCACTGGCTTACCTGACCTTGATGCTGCCTGAGAGCCTGCCCCACGTCCACAGGGCAGACAGGCTGCAGCCACCTCCTGGGACAGGGGCCAGAGAGGGGCTTTACACACTAGACCTCCTGTCCCTCCCAGCACCCCTGCAAGGAGCCCCAGGGCCCCAGCTAACGGATTCTGCCCCTTTGTGACTTTTATCACAGTGTAACAGGATAATTGAGCAGTGCGCTGTGTAACTTCTACACCCTCGGAGAATGGAGTCCTACCCACACCTCATGTGACACATTCCCGATTTACTAGCTAATCTGTTGTTGAGCACGTGTCTTTCCGAACAGAAGGTGAGCTTCCCAGTGTCAGACACAGTGTCCCCTTCACCCCCTGTCCTGAGCTAAGTGTCTGTGAGGGCGCCCAAGGGAGGCAGAGGCAAAATATCCGCTGACCAAGGAGTGCGTGGCCACCAATGCTCCCATATTACAGGTGAGGAAATGGAGGCTCAATGAGGTGACTTGCCCGAGTTCCCAGCGCTACGGAGGGAGTGGGAGAGAGGGGAGGGACCCAGTCTGCTCAGCACAGACACGCATCTTGCTCCACAGCAGGGACCTCTTGGTAAGGGTGCCCTGGTGTCACCTGGGCTCTGGCTGTGCCTGTACATTTAGTGTGACCATGGGGACACACCTCTTCCTCATGGGGTGCTTCTCTGGCTGGCCTGTTCCTCCGACCCCAAAGTCCCTCCTCCAAGGCAGAGCACTGGGAGCCCCAGCCCAGAGCAACCTTTTCGGGCATGTGCCGGAGGCTCTCGTCCCAGGAATGGGGACAGCACAGCCCACCTCTGACCCTGGCACTGCCGGCCCCAGGAGGAGCAGATATCTGGGGGAAAGATGGGGATAGGCAAGAGGGATCTCAAACCCCAGGTCTAACGTCCCAGCAATGGGCCTCCATCCCAGCTGGTATGTCCAGCGGGGAAGGGGTGGTGGTGGTTGAAATGTCTCCATCTGTCCTCACACATCGGACAGGAGAGGATCGGTGGGGCTACTGGTGTTGCCTGGCCTCTGGCTGCCTCAGCCCTTAGCCAGTGGTGGCGGCTCAGCATCAAAGGTCTAACAAGCTGCTGGCAGTCCCAGGACAGCTGTTCTTCCAGGGTGGGGGGGAAGAGGCAAGGGTTTGGGGCCACAAAGAGTGGTGGCGCCTGTTTGTCACCCCTCCCTGCCCAAACTCCCTCCCATTAGTCTCTTCCCCGTCCACAGATCCAGTCCCAGTCTGTCACACCACAGAGTTGATTTATTTTTCTCGTGGCCTTGCTCTCGGTGGGGTTAGAGAACAGCATGTCATCACCCTCTCTAAATATTACTGTTCCGCAGAGATGTGACAAATGTGACTCATCACCCTTCCACTCGCCAGCTAGAGAATCCCCAGGCCTTTCTTTGTTGATAGGAGGGTGATAACGATCATCATAATAACAGCAAAACAATGGCTGCTCCCAATTACTGACCAGGCTCTGTCAGATCCTGTGCTAAGCACTCTCCGAGTGTTATTTCATTGACTCTTCACAACCCTATGATTAGGTACTCTTCCTAGCCTATTATGCAGATGAAGAAACAGGGTTCAGAGTGGCTCAATGCCTACAGCTAGGCCTGGTCACACAGCCAGGAAACGCTGGGATCACACGCAGAGCTGCCCAAGCCCAGGCCTAATCACTGCGATGTCACCCTCCACCGACTGCTCAACCCCAACCCTAGCCAGAATCCAACCCAAAAAGAGACTGGAGCAAGCAATGTGTCGCCATCGAGAGCTGCACCCAGCGCTGCTAATGGAAGAGGGACCAGCCCAGCAGGACATTTGCATATGATTGCTTGCGGCTGCCTCTGATGTGCACCTCCAGCCTGGCCACTTCAGTCAGAATCACGTCTGTCCCCGTGAAAATGATGGCATCTTGGTTTCTCTCTCCTTTCATCTCTTTCCTGATTGCTGCCATCAGTCCTAAGCACGTCTGAGAACAGAAATGCCTGCACTGTGGCTGAGATCTGATTCTCGCCATGCAGCTGCTCGAGACACTCTGTGATCAGGGCACTGTTCTCTTTTATCAGCTCAAGGTCACAGCCTCTCTGGGGGGGTGTTGTCACCCCAGGGTGAGCCACTCCTTGCGGTGGAGTCAGGCTCTGAACAAACCCCCTTGCTGGAGGGCCCAAAAGCCAGCAATTGTGAGGTGGATGGGAAGATGGGGGGTGTGGGGGGAGGGCAAGGGACTGGGCAGAGGCAGAGGGGGCAGATGTGCCAGATGTGTTAGCCAAGCCAGGCCATGAGCCTTTGCCTTGGATGATGGACTGTTTCTGAGCCAGTTCCTTTTGTGTGTGTGTGTGTATTATTGATTTCAAAAAGGAAGAGAGAGGGAGAGATAGAAACATCAATGATGAGAGAGAATCATTAATTGGCTACCTCCTGCACACCCCCTACTGGGGATCGAGCTGCAACCCAGGCATGTGCCCTTGACCGGAATCAAACCCGGGACCCTTCAGTCCGCAGGCCGATGCTCTATCCACTGAGCCAAACCAGCTAGGGCTCCACTTGATATGTTAATGAAATCTGTTGAAAGCTCCGCTGTGCTAAGAGCAATCAAGGGAAGCACCTTTCGTCCATGCTCTGCCCGGAACAACGCCAGGGTCAGTGAGGGGATTTGAAGGTGGGACCAAAGAGAAAATTCTGGAAGGGGGAGCTCAGGGCTTCAAATGTGTTCGGACTGCTTGGCAGGTTGCCCCTTCCCACCTGAACCATGGGATTTGTTCTAAAAGGGAAAGCTGTTTCTTACATGTCACAAGTGGAGTCCTCCAGGCTTTAGGGGCTGCCCTCAGACAGGAAAGGTCCCTGGTGGGTCCTCAGTCCTGCACACACCACACACACACAGGCACACACACACAGAGGCACGCACATGCACACCATATGCATATGTGCACACGCACACACACATGCACACCATACACATAGGCACACACACAGATGCACACCATACACACAGGCACACACAGAGATGCACACCATACACACACATGCATATGACACACACACGTGCACGCACTCACAGGCACACACAGAGATGCACGCACATGTATACCACACACATATATGCACATACACATGCACACCTCACACAGGCACACACACGCACACACACACACATGCTGGAAGCCAAACCTCTCTTCTCTGCATCTCCTCTTGGCCTGGGAGCTCCCCACGATTTTTCCCCACACAATCTCATATGAACTCCTCTCTCCTAGGCATCTGAAAACACCTGTCCAGGAATCAGGCTGTGTAAAAACTCGTATCAAAAGCTTTCTGAGACCAATTCTCCCACTTATCCAGCTATGAGATCTTAGACAAGTTCATCTCTGTGTCTGTTTCCTTACTTGTAAAATGGAGATAATAATAGTACCAACCCCTTATATTTATTGTGGGGACTAAGTGAATATATGAAAGCACTTAGAATAATGCATGGGCTACAGAAATCTCTCTACAATATTAACTACTGGTATCGATTATTCCACCTCGGGAGGATAGAGGCGGGCGTGAGGAGGAGAAAAGGAAACCAACAGTCAGAGCTGCCTACCAAGGCCGGTCCCCACTTCCCTCTCTGAGCTCAGTCAGCTGAGCCCCCAGCCCGAGGACACCTCCTGGGCATGGAGACCCGGCAGGGCAGCCTTCCTCCTGACAGTGGGGTGTGGGTGGGCTTCAGGGGAGTCGGGATACCCCCAAACTGGGAGCAAAAGTGTTGTGCAGGTACATTTTTCTCCCAAAAGCTTCAAGTCTGTTGGAGAGATGGACAGAGGACATGCAGACAGACATGACAGTCAGACACTAGGGAACGCAGCGATTCTGCCTGCTTGGCAGGTCCTCGCCTCACCGGGGATGCATGTGTGAATGTGTGTGACTTAGGAGATTCCATTTAACCCCTTTATTGACAATGCAGCCCACGCCGACAAAGGGCTCTCTCTACACCAACATGAGAGAACTCATGGGTCCTGGGAAAACCTGCCCAGGGAGAAAGCAACCCGGGCAGAGAGCTCCTTTCCTGGGCAGAGGGGAGGATTATCGGCCATGCTGGACAGAGGCCACGGTAGCGCATCAGGTCCCCGTGGAAGTCGTAAGCAGATTTTGCACTCTATTAATCTGCATCTGTTTGCACATCACTGCTGTCAGCAGCATCTGTCCAGGGAAGAGCAACCCAGTAATGGAAGGAGCATGGGCTTTGGGTTGGGCCGGTCTGGGTGCACTGGCTTCATCACTCCTGGCTGAGTGACCTTGGGCAAGGGTCTTCGTCATTCTGAGCTCAGTCTTTAAACCGGGGATGCTGATAAGGGTCCCACCTTGCAGGTTGTCAGGAGGATTAGCAATGAGGTGGACAGCGCTGGCACTGTGCCTGGCACACACTGGCTTAGAAGCTATGGAAGCTGCCGGATGGTGATGAAGATTGAGATGATGGTGGAGACACCTGTACTCTCTCCCCCTTGTTAGGCTAGCAGTTTCCCCAACAGCTGGTGGTATTGCTTTCTCCCTTTTCCTTCTTCCTATCTCCTCTCTCTGCCGCCTCACCTCCCCCCCCCAAAAAAAAATCATTCACCTTAACAGATCTAGAGGGGGGTCCACACATTCCAAAGCCACCAGACCACCCTGGTGGGCTGTGCCCCCTTGAGGGAAGAGTGGGAACACCCATCGCCTCCGTTAGGGCTCTGTCTTCCCACCTGCCCTTGCCCCCAGCCTCACTCCTACCTCACGTTGTCATGCTTCTGGATGTAAATCTTATGGAACATCATATCCTCCTGCTTGGCGTTGATGTCTGCTTTCATCTCCATGGCAACATGACGGGGAAGGACAGATAGCAGGAGCCGCTCCTGGGGAGGGAAGCAGATGCTTTTGTCTCAGCTCCTTCCACCTGCCTGGCAGTCAGGCCCCTCTCCTCTCCAGGTGGGCTCCTTCACACCTGTGCCCCCACCTGCAGGAAAACCCCTCAGACTCTCCTCAAACTCATGGGACACCTGCCGGTCCTCGGAGCACACGGGGAAGGTGCTCCTGGTGGCCCTGCAGCGCTGAGCACCTGAGTCAGAATCCTACGTGTCGCCAGAGATGGCGTGACCTTGGGCAAATTATTGGACTTCTCTGAGCCCCAGGCTCCTCACCTGTCAATAGGGACAGGGTTGTTGAGAGCATGAAATCCATCCAGTCAGTCATCAAGTATTTATTGAGCATCTGCCATGTTCCAGGCAACGCGCTGGGTGCCAGGAGTCATACTGTGAACTAGACCGTGAGCTGGAACCTCCTTCACGAGGTTCCTGGTGAGGGAGTGGGCCCTGGGCAGGGGTGCCTGAGGAAAAGCGGGAGGTAACAGGAGGCTTTATGGGACCAGAACAATGAGGTGAGGAGGGAGCTCCATATTCACACAGGAGACAGTGGCCCGGGAGAGAGGGAAGGCACTTTGAGAAACAAGTTAAAACCTGTTGAGGAGGTGGGAGAGAAGCAGGGAGGGGGCCAGAGCCTCACTGTGGACGAGGAGGGTCCTGGAGCCTGTGTGGGGCCTGGACCTTGCCCTGATCTGGGTTCTCCTCCAGGCCTGCCTGCTCTGAGAGGCCCAGCTGCTCCTGGCGGTCGGCCTCTGCCTGCTCTCTCCACAGCCCACAGCCCACAGCCCACAGCTCACTGCCCACTGCCCACTGCCCACTGCCTACTGCCCATGCCAGGCTCGCTCTTGGAATTCTCCCATCAGGAGCCTTTCAGCCTCCACCCTCCTCGTCCTGCTGTCCTTCACTGGCTTCCCCACCCCTCGAGTGGTCCTGAGACTCTTCTGGTCCCTCCCCCGCCCCCTGGCCCCAGGTGAAAATTACCAACATCTGCTCACTCCTGCCCTCTGGGGGTGAGGCTTCCTCCAGCACCTCTGTGGGCCCCTCTCACCCCCTATCTCCCATCCAAGGCTCCAGAGTCTCCAGCTGCCCACCCGATGTCTGGTCACTTGACCCCATGCCCTAGACCACACTTGCCTTCCCTGGTTTTTCGTTCCTCAGTGCCTCCTCATTTCAAGTCCCCTGCCATGCCCATGACACCCCCATTCTTCTGATCCCCAAAGGTCATGACCCTGCCCATGTAACTGCTCTTACTTCTCAGAACTCATAGACTGACCAGGTCCTGCTGGTTTGGACACAAGCTCCTGGACTTATTCTGTCTGTTCTGCATCCACCTCCACCATCCACATGCAGTTCTCACCCGACGGTGGGATTCTCGCGCCGCCTGCCAGCCAGCCACTCCTCAGCCCTGTGTGGCCGCCTCTCCAGTACACGGCCCTTCTCATGTCACTCTCCTGCTCCAAACTCCAAAGCTCCCCTGGGCTCCACCAGACACATCAAGTGTGGATTCTTCTGGACTCACTGAGCCCACTCCTATGTTCCACTCCACCCGCCCCCTTGCCTGCCCTGACACGCTCCCACCCGCCCAGACCTGGCTGCCGTCCTTCTCCTTCCAAGTACCTCTCCCCACCCCAGCCTCAGCCTCTAGCAGGTCTAGGCCTCCTTCAGGTCAGCCTCTAGCAGGCCTAGGCCTCCTGCTGGTCAGCCTCTAGCAGGTCTAGGCCTCCTTCAGATCGGCCTCTAGCAGGCCTAGGCCTCCTACAGGTCGGCCTGTAACAGGTCTAGGCCTCCTTCAGTCCAGCCTGGATGACAGGTGGCCTCCGCCCACACTGGGTGCTCTGTCTCAAAGCTTGCCACCTTTGATCTATCCTCCACGGTAAGCCAGAGAGTGATCTTCCTAAAACACACACCTGACCATATCGCTGGCCCAAATAAAATCCTCCTATGCCTCTGGAAGCTTGCAGAATCAGCCCACGCCCCAACCTGGCCTCAAGGTCTCCAGGATCTGGCTCCTGTCTCCCTCCCACCCCCATGCTCCCCTCCCAGCAACCCCTGAACGGAAATCTGCACTCTGCTCCAGAGAGAGGAAACCAAGCTTCTGGTGGCTTTTGCACACAGCCCCTCAGCTGGACTGACCATCCTCACACACACAGGCTCGCTGCCTCCCCAGGAGGGGGTCCTGGCTGGGGCTGTCAGCATCCCCTCCCCACCTGGGCCTTCCTTAGAGCCCTGCTCACTCTGCATTTCAATGACCTATGAACCTGTTTCCCTTCAGTGTGAGCAATGAGACGCCTCCCTGGGATGGAGCTGTGTCCTGTTCCCCTCCACGGCCTCCAGCCAAACCCTGGGGCACTGGTGAGGGATGCTGCTCCCTGTGGTTGGCCTGGTCTCTCCAGGCGTCCGTGAGCATGGCCACTGAAGGTCATCTCGCATTTACCGAACTCGCAGCGAACAGTCACTGGTGATAGAAACACAAACTAAAGGATGAGTCTGTGTCCGATGGCTGGGACAATGTGTGCTACAAATTGTGTAGGTTCAAATTGTGTAGTCATCAACTCTGCTGATGACGTCTTCAGAGGCTGAGGGTCAGGAGTGGGCAGAAGGCGGCCAGGGAATCATGCCAAGTCCCCTGGTCATGCAGCACCTGGGAGAGTCACCCTTTCTGTCGCAGGCGAGACCGAGATCTGCTGCATGAGGAGCTCCTGTCCCCATCCCGGTAGCTTGGCTGGAACATGGTGTTGCAAACCTATTTTCTCCCCCAGGTCCCTATGGATTTGCTGGAATGCCCGGCCTGGCCAGGGCCAGAGCGAGTAAACTACGTGAGCTGTAAAGTGCAGATTTTACTGGAGAAGGCAGGTACAGAAGTGAGAGGGACAGTCCCTAATGTGGAAAGAGAAGGACGGTGTCCTGCTCCAGAAGAGAGGTGCTGGGCCAGGAACTGAGGCGAGAGAGGGGGATGTGAGGCATGCAGGGGCTTGGGAGTGAGGGGGGTGCAGAGGTGAGGTAAGCTTGCCAAGGAGACAGTGGGACCTCTCAGGGACACTGCCAGGCCCAAATTTCCTTCAAGAGGCAGGACCAGGAGCCCGACCGGGCCGGGAGTACGTGGAGCAAGCCAGGTCTCCACTAGACAGCAGGAGCTGGGACCTGGCTAGATGAGACACAGGCTGGAGGGAAGCTGACACAGGTGGTGACTGGGGAGGGGGCGGGGCTGTGGAGACACCTCGGAGCTTTATCCCCTTGCTCAGCTGTCTGCATGTCACCAGCCTGTATCCCTGTAACTCCCCTAGGATACAGCCAGACAGTCAGAGACTCCCTCACGTTGCGGTAAAACTGCTGTGCACTCAGGGCCCACAGCACGCACTCCCTGCCGGCCAGGGAATGCTGCCACTCTCACAGTCCACCTCATCAGCCTCTGGGGAAGGGGAGGGGGAGGGGAGGGTGCCTCCCTGCTGCCAGACCTGGGCTGCCTGGCTTATTTGCAAAAGCCCAGGGGGGCTGAAGAGGCAGTGGGCCAGCACTGGGGTAGAGCCCTTCCTCCAGGCTCTCCTAGAGCATTCCCACAGAGCCAGGAATGTGGGCGCCCTCCAGGAGAAACATTCCCGGGCTGGGCCCCCACCCGGGGAGGTGGGGCTGGGCAGCTGTTGGAGCACAGCTGGTGGGGAGGTCAGTCTGGAGTCTGCTCCCCGCCAGCTGTGCAGAGGCAGGCGCTCACTCACCTGCTGCTGGTTCTCCCGCTGAGAGTGGAGTCGCGCCTGGATGCACTCCCGGGTCTCCTGGAAGGCTTGTCTCTGGGAGACCTCGGCCGGGTAGTGGGTGCAGACGCCCACGATGTTGGTGCAGGAGAAAATGAGGACATTGGAGACGAGCTGCAGAGGGAGAGATGAAGAAGGACACCATGCTCAGGCCTGGAGCCGACACCAGTCATTGGAGCCCCAGCCCTGACCCTTCCAGCCCCAGAGCACGAGGCTCCCAGGCCCCATCTTAGCAAACACATACTCAAATGCCAGCAGACAAATGCCAAGGAAGCTGGGGGCAGCCAGGCATTGTTGGTCGGGCTCTCTGATGTCCTCAGAGCCCACAGCCTGGCTGGCCTGTGATGGCGTATGGCCCTAGGGACACCGAGCACACTAAACGTGTCCATAGTACCAAAGGTGGAAAGGTTAGGTGCACTGGGGATTCTGTGACTGACTGGGTGTGTGCTGGGGTGCAGGAGCCTGTGAGGAAGGCTCCATGAGGGTGGCGGGACGTCAGTTTTGGAAAGTGTGATAGCGTCCAGCATGAACAAAGGGCTGCCCTTTTGCAGAGAAGCCCTAGCTCATTACTCCCCAGGGATCAGCGGCAATGAAATAAGTACTGACGCTCACCGTGAGCTCCCAGCACTGTGCTAACGAGAGAAGGAAAAGGTCCCTGGCGATCAGTGCCCACAGGGGGTCTCGTCTCCTCTCCCTAGGCTTCCATTCTTTCTCTGCACCAGCACCAAGGCCCCCCAGCACCCCACCACACCGGCTGGCGAGCACCCCCCATCACCCCCTGCCCCTCATCGATGCCCTTCTCTGTGCTGACTGGGATGTGCCTGTGGAAAAATACCACTGCCTCTCGGGTCATAGGGACAAGGTTGGAATTCTTTTGAAAAGATTATTGACTGAAAAGCTACGGGGAAACAAAACACAAAAAGCAAGTTGACATGGTACATTTTAGATACCGACAAAGGTGCTGTTTAGCCAAGATTTCTTTTGGCAGGTTCAGCTCCCAGGGTATCTGGGTAAGCTATCCTGGTCCTGCCCTCTCCTCAGGCCACACAGGCCACACAAACGCTCAGACTTCTAGGCCTCGAAAATTTAATGTCAGACTCACCTGCAGAAGGGGAGCCCAGGCCGGCCCTGCCCCTTGCACTGTGGTCCCTAGTCCTCTTGTCCATTTCGATCTCAAAAGACTCCTCTGGGCACCAGCCGCCTGTCAGTGACCCAGCAGGCCACCCCCTCACTCTTCTCCCAGGGGCCTCTTTGTCTCTAGGACAGAGGTCCTGCTTTGACTCAGGGCTGTGTTGTGCCTGAGGCTTTCCCCCACCCCGGCTCTGAGGTGGTCCAGACCATGCGGGGTCCTCAGCCAGCCCAGGCCTGGAGGCCGCGTGGACCCCATGCTGGATATGGGGCCATCTCTCCCTGAGACATTCTGGGACGCATCTGCCCCAGTCTATGAACAGGAGGGGACTGTCTCCTTCCCATCTCAAAGTCTTGCTCTCTCCTCGGCTGCACAGTAAATTCTGGTTTTCTGGCCAAAGGATACCTCCCAGGTACCGTGAGGGAAGGGGCAAACTCAGATTATCAGCTCTACCACTCTGCTGATGACTCACAGCCCCCACAACCCACCCCAAACCCCATCCACCCCAGAATCCTATCATTGTCATTTTACGTAAACATGTGGCAGAAAACCCAGTCTATTCACCACAAGAAAGAAGACCCCTGCTCTACAGAAGCTGACAATCTAAACGAGGAGATAAGTAGTCAAGACTGGGGATGAAGGACCGGCAATAGGAAGCATAAACTGACTCACACCAGAGCAAGAGGGTCAAGAGGGAATTCGGGGTACTGAGAGAACTCTGGGCAGGCCTGGGGCACACTGGGCCTGGGTTAGAGAGATGTTTGGGGAGGCTGACATGCATGGGGAAGGGCCTCCCTGGAAAGGGTACCCAGGAAGAGCCCCTCAGACCAGGGAGGAGACGGCCCAGGAAAGAGGTCTTGCCTGCAGTATTAACCCATGCTGTGACACGCCTCTAGCAGTCCCCGGGGACCACTGAGGGAGGGCTAAGAGAAAGTGAGATGAGGAGGTGAAGGCTGAAGGTACAGGTGACAGGGAATTCCAAAGAACGCTCTAGTTAGGAGACATCTTTTGAAAGGAAGGTGCCAGGTGACAAAAAAGGAGTGAGATATAATAGGGGAAAACGAAAAGCATTTCCCTTAAAATCAGGAACAGGACAGGGAGGTCCACTTCCACCACTCTTACTGAACATAGTACTGGAATCAGCCACAGCACTCAGGCAAGAAGAAATAAAAGGCATCCACACTGGGAAGGAAGAACTGACACTGTCGTTATTTGCAGATGACATGATACTGTATATAGAGAACCCTGAAGATTCCACCAAAAATCTACTAGAACTGATAAATGAACTCAGTAAAGTAGCAGGATACAGAATAAATATTCAGAAATTGGTTGCATTTTTATACACCAATAATGAACTATCAAAAAGAGAAACCAAGAAAACAATCCCATTTACAATTGCGTCCTAAAATAATAAAACTAAAAAATCTGGGAATAAATCTAACCAAGGAGGTAAAAGCCCTGTACTTGAAAAATTGTAAGTATTGAAGTAAGAAAATGAAACAAATAAATGGCAGCATTATATAGTACTCATGGATAGAAAGAATAAAACATCATTAAAATATCTATACTACCCCAAAGCAATCTATAGATTCAAGACAATTCTTATCAAAATATCAATAGTGTATTTCACAGAACTAGAACAAATACTAATCCAAAAATCTTTATGAAACCACAAAAGACACCCAGTAGCCACAGCAATCTTAAGAAAGAACAAAGTTGAAGGTATCATGCTACCTGATAATCAAACTGTACTACAAAGCTATAGCAATCAAAACAGCATGGCACTGGCATAAAAAGATATATAGAGACCAATGGCACAGAATAGAGAGCCCAGAAACAAACCCACACCTACTAGTATATTGTCAATTAATATTTGACAAAGGTGACAAGACATATAGGGTGGGGAAAAGGCAGGTTTACAACTGTGACTATGCAAAACACAGTCCTATTCTTGTATTATTATTTATTAATTATTATATTATTTTTCCATTTGGACAACTGTACTAGTAAACCTACTTTCCCCCAGTATGTACAATGAGGTAAAGACAGTCTTATCAATAAATGGTGTTGGGTAAACTGGACAGATACATGCAGAAAAAAAAAGAAACTAGACCATCATCTTACATTATATACAAGATATAAAAAAATAAACTCAAAATGGATTAAAGGCTTAAATGTAAAATTTGAAAGCATAAAACTCCTAGAAGAAAACACAGGCAGTAAAATCTCTGACATTTCTCTTAGCAATATTTTTTCTGATAGTTCAAAAGAATATATGCACCCTTATGTTCATTGCAGTGTTATTTACAATAACTAAGACTGGAAGCTGTCCAAGTGCCCATCAATAGGTTGAGTGGATAAAAAAGCTGTGGCACATTTACACAATGGAATATTACTCGGCCATAAAAATAGAAGAAAACCTTACTTTTGTGACAGTATGAATGGAGAGCATCATGCAAGTGAAATAAGCCAGTCAGAGGAAGACAAATCCATATGATTTCACTTATATGTGGAATCTAATGAACAATATAAATGAACAAACAGAAACAGACTCACAGATGCAAGGAACAGACTGATGGTTGCCGGAGAGGAGGAGGTGTGGGGGACTGGGTAAAAAAGGTGAAGGGATTGAGAAGTACATATTGGTAGTTACAAAATAGTCATGGGGATGTAAAGTACAGCATAGGGAATATAGTCAATAATATTGTAATAACTGTGTATGGTGCCCAGAGGATACTGGAAATATTGGGGGGAACATTTTGTCTAATCACTATGCTGTACACCTGAAACTAATAACAAAATAATACTGAATGCAAGCTCTAATTGAAAAACTTTTTTAAAAAAGTTTTTTTTTAAAGAAAGTAAAAAAGACAACAACAGAATTGAATTATCTGCAAATCACATATTCCACCTTTATTTTTGACAAGTATATCAAGGCAACTAATGGAGAAAGGATAATCTTTTCAATATATGGTGCCAGAACAATTGGATATCCATATGATCAACTCAAGTCTCACAAAATATGCAAAAATTTCCTACTAATGGTTCATAGGCCTAAATGTAAAACCTGAAACTATTAAACTTCCTGAAAAAATATATGACCTTGAGTTAGGCAAAAAAAAATTTTTATATATAACAGCAAAATCATGATCCATAAAAGGGGAGAAACTGATAAATTAGACTTCATCAAAATGAAGAACATTTGCCTTCAAAAGGCACTGTTAAGATAATGAAAAGATGAGCCACAGATTGGAGAAATTACTTCTAAATAATATATTTGATTAAAAAAAAAGATTTGTGCCTAGACTTCATAAAGAACTCCCAAAAGTCAACAATAAGAAAACAAACAACCCACTTTTTAAAAGAGCAAAAGATGTGAGTAGACAATTCACCAAAGAAGACAGAAGGATGACAAATAAGCACATCAGAAGATGCTCAAAATCATGAGCTCTTAGGGAAATGCAAAAACAATGAGATACTACTCAACACTATTAGAACGGCTAAAATAAAGTAAAATTTACAAATTAAAAGAAAAGAACGAAGAACTGCCAATACTGTTACTGGAGCAACTTGAACTCTCACACCTTGCTAGAAGGAATGAAGAATGGTCCAGCTTCTTTGGAAAACTGTGTTGATTTCTCATAAAGTTTAATATACACTTGCCATAGGACCAGCAATGTCACTCCTAGGTACTTGCCAAAATGAAAAGTTATGTTCACACAAAAATCTGTGCAGGAATGTTTATAAAATGGAACAACCTAGTAATAGCATACATCCATGATTTTTAACTGGTGTGCAGCAAGAATTTTTTTAAGTGACTATCATACCTGTTTGTTCCTTTTTTAATTGATTTCAGAATGGAAGGGAGAGGGAGAGAGAGATAGAAACATCAATGATGAGAGAGAATCACTGGTTGGCGGCTTCCTGCACGCCCCCTACTGGGGATTGAGCCCACAACCCAGGCTTGTGCCCTGACCTGGTTCAT